AGCGGAAGTGGAGTTGACACGGGAGTGGTGGCCGTCGATCCCGTGCTGTGAGGACGCGAAGTAAGTGATTCTAAGTCAATCTAAGATACGTCGACTTCAGCTACGCTATTCTCGTAGCTGAAGTTGTGTATCTTAGATCGATCCCACCCCCAGTGTAGACCAGGCCATGGATAAAACTGAACTTTCTTTCCAAGCCCACCACACTCTCTCTCTCTCTCTGTTGGCAACGTTACTAAACTTCTTGTTACTGAGGCCTGCAACCTTTTTAGACTCTTATTTCTCTTGCTCTGCACATTCATGCTACATCCAGATCTTGCAGCTTCTTACTACACAAGATTTCTATGATCTGATCTTTTCTGTCTGTCCAAGTAACTAAATCAGTTCTCCAAGCCCTCTCCTAACTTGACTACTGTAATCACCTCCTTTGTGACCTTCCTGATACCCACATCACTCCCCTCCAGTCAATTCAGAATGCACTGTTAAAATAATCTTCCTATTGTTCTCACCATGTTGCCCCCGCCCCTCCCCTCTTTGAGTCTGTGACAGGGTATACCTACCCCATACCAGCCCCCAAAGGGTCTTTGCAGGCCGAGGAAGTCCCGCCCCTCTGGCTCTGCTGGGCATGCTCAGCCTGGAGGCAGAGTATGAAAGGAAGCAGCCCAACTAAGTCTGGGCAGGCTGTTGAAAGGGGGAGGATGCAGACTCTTGCCAGGGAGCTGCTATAGGCTGCGACTCCAACTACAGAGCCATGGCACGCAGAGTTCCAGATGGACTCCAGGCTGCCTGATGCCTCCAAGGACCATATTTTGAGGTCCACCAGGACCGCCTTTATTGGGTGACCCAGATGCCCCAGATGGGAGAAGAGCTCCACCAGCTGTTGATCCCCTGCCAGTTTCGACGGGATCTGTTATGGGTAGCCCATGCAGTGCCCTGGGCTGGGCATATGCGGTGTGAGAAGACTTTGCAATGAGTGGCGCTGAGATTCTTCTGGCCGGGTATATACCAGGAAGTGCGGGACTTTTGTGCCTCCTGCCCCAAGTGCCAGCGTGCTGGCCTTCGAGAGGATTGGCCTAGACTTGATGGGGCCTTTGGAGAAAAGTGCATCGGGGTTCCAGTATACCCTTGTGGTAGTCAACTATGCGACCCGATACCCGGAGGCTGTCTCGCTATGGACCACCATGGCCCCCGCCATAGCCACAGACCTCCTTAAGATTTTTGCCAGGGTAGGAATACCCAGAGAAATCTGGACAGACCGTGGAACGAATGTCTCATCCAAGCTGATGGCCAAATTGTCGTCTATTAAACATTCGAGCTCTCAGGACATCGGTCTATCACAAACAAACCGATGTGCTAGTTGAGAGGTTCAACGGAACCCTGAAGGCTATGCTTTGGAAATTCATGGACGACAACCCATGACAATAGGGTAAGTTTCTGCCTGCATTGCTGTTTGTCATGTGAGAGGTTCCCCAAGCCTCCATGGGATTCTCCCCATTTGAGCTCTTTTACGGGAGACAGCCAAGGGGAATCCTGGACCTGCTCCAAGAAACCTGGGAAGAACAGGAATCAAGGGTCATGAGGTCAGTGTCCTACATCCTGCATCTGCGAGAACGTCTCCAGCAGCTGGGAGAGTTTTCCTGGGAAAATTTGCTGCAGGTGCAGCACACCCAGGAACTCCAGTATAATCAGGGGGCCAAGCTATGGACTTTCAAGCCTGGGGTTAGGGTCTTGCTGCTATTGCCATCTTCAGAATCAAAACTGCTTGCTAAATGGCAGGGACCATTTGAGATTGTTTGGCGCATGGGGCCAGTAGACTGAGGTCTAGCTCCCTGGGCAACGAAAAGACCTTATGAGTATACCATGTAACCTTTTGAAAGTCTGGAAGGCGTGGGAGGGTCTGCTAATCGCCACTACCCCCCAGAACCCGAATTGGGGCCAGTGGACCTCCCGACCCAACACCAATCACAATGGGGCAAGCTCTGAACAACAAGCAAGGCTACAACAGTTGGTCCAGAGCTTCCCCTCCATTTTATCTTCCTACTCTGGATGGATGAGTATCACCAGCCATCAGATAGACACCGTGCCCGGACAGAAGGTCCGCAACCAACATCGCCCAAGTGCCAAGTTTTTATCAACGTTAGACTTGACCAAGGGGTACTGGCAAATATCCCTTACCCTGACATAATAAGAGAAGACAACCTTCCCTATGCCCTTTGTCTTATATCACTTCATCATCATGCCCTTCAGGCTAGATGGGGCGTGGCTGCATTCCAGCATTTAATGGACCAGCTGTTGCAGCCATACTGACAGTATGCAGCCGCATGTATTGATGACATAGTGATCTAGAGCGCAAGCTGGGAGGTACACCTACATCTCTCAGTGGTTCTACAAGCCCTGAAGGAAGCAGGACTCACAGCAAATTCCTCCAAGTTTTCCCTCGGGTGGAAGGAAATGACTTACTTGGGATATACGGTGGGGGCAGGACAACTCCATTCCCCGAGGTCCAGGCCCTAAGAGATTTCCCCGCTCCTACGACAAAAAGGAAGGTAAGGCAGTTCCTTGGCTTGGCAGGGTACGACTGGCGGTTCGTGCCAGACTTCGCCATGATCGTCACCCCCCCTCTCCGACCTCATGAAGAACTCCCGACCGCGGAATGTTCAATGGTTGGAGGATTGTGAGAGGGCCTTTCAGACCTTGAAGGAGCGACTTACCCAGGAGCCAGTCCTCTTCCACCCAGACTTCTCAAAACCATTCATTTTACAAACAGATGCTTCGGAACTGGGGTTGGGCTGCTCTCCTCTAACTTTCTTCTACTGCCTGCTTCCCTGAGCCACTTCCCCATAGCCCCAGCACCTTCTCTGCCCCTTTTTGTCAGGGCCCCAGTCTGGCAGTCGTCAGCCTAGAGCTCTCCCAACCTCTGCTGACCCTGCCCAGCACTGCTCTGTCTTAGGTGCTTCTCTCAGAACCAGTTCTTCTCACTTCGTTCTCCAGGGAGAAATTCTGCTGCTCTCTGCCCTGCAGCCTTCTCATAGGGCCCAGCCTGGCCCTGATAGGCTGCTTTCAAGCCTCCACTTGATTGGCTGAGGCTCTGCGCAGCCATTCTGGCTTGCTTTAACCCCTTCCATGCCGACGTGGGGCAGCTGCCCCACAACAGGAGGACAAGGGGGAAGGACCCCCGCTGGGTCCTGTCTCGAGGGGTAAGGTGTGTGACAGGGTGTACCTACTCCACACCAGCCCCGAAACGGTTAACTGTGCTTTGCAGGCTGAGGAAGTGCAGCCCCTGCCGGGTGTGCTCAGCTTGGAGGCAGAGTATAAAAGGAAGCAGCCCAATTCAATCTGGGCAGGATGCTGAAGGGGGAGGATGCAGGCTGCGGGCTCTCTCCGGGGAACTGCTACAGGCTCTGACTACAGAGCCATGGCACGCAGTGTTCCAGATGGACTCCAGGCTGCCTGACGAGCCTGCAGAAGAGACCTCGCCGGCAGGAGCTACTCCAGCTGAGGACCCCAAAGACCATGGGGAACTATGGAGAATTGCTGAGGGAGAAAGGGTAGGAAGCAGTCCAGGGGACTTAAACTCTTCTGTAGTGCGTGAACCAGGGAACCAGTCAGCGTGTTTCAGGAGGATCCCTGTTGACTGGGTGGTGAGCACCCCCACTATTGCCAGGGGCCTGGGTTGGGATTTAGAGGAGCAGGGAGGGCCACACCCTCCTAAATGGTGCCCCAGTTCCCCAATGGGCCAATAGATCACACAATCCCACAGAAGTGGGCTACTCTGACTCCGGCCATTAGGCCATGCTGTTCTGGTGGAAAGGCCGCTTATTGACTCTGGCCATTGGGCCACGCTGCCCTGAGCAGAAGGGCTGCTTATGGAACCTGGCCATTGGGCCAATTCAAAAAATCTGCTTTGTGTGTATATTCAGAACTAAAGTTGCTTATCTAACTGACAAAAGTAAGTTTTACCCCTGCATCAGAGAGACAACACCATTGTGTGTATGGGGGGGGGGGGGAAATAGCAGAATTCTATTCTGGTTTACGTAGCATCAACATAATTGTAAAATATGTATGTTCCAGTTGAAGAAATTCTACTGTCCCTGATGAATGAGCCGGAAAGAATAAGCTGAGTTTGCAGGGCTATTGTTGGAAAAAAACATAATTGTACTGGAATTGATCTGGAAGTCTTGGAGAGACTAGAATGGAAAGCCCAGGGATAACTGACTAACCAAATATCTTGTATGTCTGAAAGCCTCACCACATTTCCCTGTGTGTTAGCTTTTCACCAAGCTTTGCTGAAAGTCTTGCAGTGTCTTGCCAGTTAACTCTGCCTCTCAGTTTAAGAAATGGTGGTTCAATCAGTTGTCTATTGTGTGCTGAATAATTTCTCTTTTGATGATGAATAACTTCACACCTGCCAAATCATATAGAGTTTCCATATGACACACATGCCATGTAAGCAGACCTAATGATGATCACTATTTTACTCATGGTTTTTGTGAACTCTGAATGTACTTTTGTAAGACTTGCTGGATTGTATCACTTCATTCACTTCCAGCTGTTCTTCTGGTCTGTTTAAGAGAAGATGAGTTGTTCGGAAACAGCACAGAGCAACACTATTCTGGCTCGGACAGTCTGAAAGTCCCACTAAGAATTAGCTTTCTAAAATACAAACTGGGTGTTTTTCTTTATTTTGAACTGTTTCCCCAGAAAATATACTTCAGAGAGTCCATCTTCTCTTTTGGGGACACCTGGGTATGTATGGTACATTAACAAGTCCAGGCACCTTGTAAGGATTCCAATAGGCAGAACTACTGGGTTATAGTTTGATTTAATTTTGCTAATATAGCAAATATTTTAGTTATTATATGGTAAATCAATAAATAGACTTCTGATCATCAATAATCCTTGTGGTAATCATTTAAAATTAGTCCTGTTTTAGATTTGTTCAGTTTGCTAATTAGTTTCAATACATTTCTTTAAAGCATTCTGATGACTAGTTCTTTTTCTAGATGTCCCAGGATGAGACGGTGTGTAAATATTGTGGAGTCAGCTATCTGATCCTTCACGAGTTTAAGCTGATGGAAGACAAAGTAAAAGCAATGGAAAAGGAGATGAAGTTTTATGAAGGAAGCGTAGAGCGGGAAAAAAGACTTCAAGCACAACTACAGTGTCTTAGTCAAGACTTTGAACAGTGCACGGCTGAGAGTGAATCAAAAACAGAAAGGTTGGAACATGATATTTGTCCTTATATTTTTTCATATTAACACTCTCATCAATGTAGTTGAAAGGATGGTTTCAGAATGGCTTTCCTTCCAGAATCAACCTGAATCAAGTGTAGTTCATACCTGAATACATTTTAGTATTTTAATTTAAATCATAGTTTGAAGCATTCCTTAGAATCAAATATTTACTACCTGAATAGTTTAGAGCCAGTCAACAAATTTAAGTGAAAGAAAGGTCAGATTATTTCAGAGAAAGCTATTGACAAAGATGGAAAATACCTTTATTACTGGAGTCATAATTTATCTAAAATTGTTCAAATCAAATTTAGACTATTATGGTTGACAGAATAAGGATTTTACATTTCTGAAATGTGTACTTACTGCCTTACAATAGGTACAATAATCTGCTAAAGAAAAAACAGAAACCTTGCACTGAAAAGCTTACAGTTCAGTTTCCAAAAAGAATTATTTAGAGCACTGAAACTGATGTGAAATTGGTTAGTACTATATGTGTGTAGTTTTGAAAGGGCTTCTAAGTTCTTATTTCTAAGTCCTACTTGGGAACCCATCTTACAAACATTTACTGCCATGCAAAATGCAAGTTATATTGCGGTAGTCCCATTAACGTAGTGGGAGTTTTGCCTTCATAGGAACTACAGTAGATTGGCAGTACCAAATGCATAAATATTTCATTTACTATATTTTATCTGTTGATTGATTTTGCTTAGTGCCTACATTCATCATCATAGCAGTAATAAAACTGGAGAACCAAATTAACAAGTTCATTCAGTCAGACAGTTATTCTCAAAAAGGAAGAAAAAGTCTTTTTACATTAAAGGGCATAATCAACTTGAATTCTAGACAATTTAAAAACATTAGTTACAAGTAGTTTCAGGTACACCCACTGAGTCCTCTTCCCTCAGTTTTTATGGTTCTACTGTCACTTTTTTTTTTTAAAGAGGTCTTTCTCTTCCTTGTGACTATGTGAAAACCTAACAAGCAACAGGAGAAGCAGGGAAATTTGACTCTACATCTAGTTCTGCAACATGTGTTGTTTTCACTATGTTTTAAATATCTGTCAGCGCTGTACCACTCTCCAGTATTAAACTGATATGAAATGGCTTTAAACTGATGGTCTTGGGTGCAGTGATCAAGAGTTATAAATGTTTCCTTTCTCAATTAATACAAATAGGTGAGTCTGCATTTTCTTCTACCTATTTATCAGCAAGTATTATTTTAAAGCTGAAACCAGAAGCATTAGTTATGAAATTCTGTCCTTTTCCTGGGCCCACAGTGTAGCTTTGGTTGTTGCATCTGCAAACTGATTATTTAATATTGCACCATATATGTCAGCTTAGTTTTTGGAAGACAGGAGAAAGCTAAACGTGGAAATTGTGTTTTTAAAAAAGCCTTTTCCTACTTCTGTTCCTGCCTTCATCCTTCTTACTTTTTCTCCCACTATTTGTTTGTCCTTTTTTCTACCTTTCACCCACACTAACTATAAATATTTTTTCAGATCTAAGTTCCTAATTATGCATTTTATAGTAGTCCATCTTGGATATTTGTTGGTGATGATATAAAGAACTTGGTTTGGTATGGAACTTGTTTGTTATCGTCATTATAAACGAGTTTCCACAATATGTTGATTTCTTTTTATTTGATACTGTAGGGTTGTTGGAGATGTACTATATTTCACCTTCTATTGTGGATATGCCATTACATGTTTTTTGGTGATCCATCATGACACTAGCAGATTTCTTACCAAAATAATAGTGTACCTCCACTACCATCTTTTGTAAAAGAAATTCAGTATTTTTTGGCTTCTCCGAGCCCAAAAAGTTTTGAGGAGCTTTTCTCTCCTTTCTCTCCTTTCTCTCCATTATTTTCTCTCATTTTTCTGCTTCTCTAACCAGACTTCACTCTATATTCTGTACCATTTCTTGTGCCCGCATTTTCTGTGCTCTTATTTGAACCAGTATGTATTTTCCGGTTGTAGGTTTAGAATATGATTCTAATCTAAACAGTACCATTTTGTTTTTTAATTAGCAATAATGTGGTGTTTGTGAAAGGTGAGTATGTGTTGCTGATTTTGCTAGACACTGAAGTCCTCTGACCACGTAATAGTATGGCATGAGCAGCAGCACTGAAAGCTTCCCTGCAATGCCTTACCACCCTACATTGGCACTGTTCTGGAGAGACCATCTTTAGGGGTGAAAGAGTGGTTGTAAGTCTTTGTCCAGCCACTCATCAGCCTAATTCTAAAGACTGTCAGTTGTGGTGTTAGCTTTTGTGAAATGGACTGAAACTGCTAACTCATTACACATTGAGCATTAACAAGCCCTATGATAGTAATAACTTTCATTTAGAATTCACCTGGAATGTCTTAGAAACACTAGAGAAGAAACACTGAATTGCACTAGTGGCCTACAGGGAAAGCACTCCGTCATCCTTTAACAGTCTTGTGAGCCACGCAAGGAGACTAATAATTTAACATGACTGTAACATTTGAGATTGAGTTAGAGAACATCTTCAGCAGTCATTGCCAATAAATCTTTACTCCTATAATATGTATGGCCACTCAGAGTTACATAATACACTGTCTGTAGCCCTTTCCGCTTATTGCAGTGTTTTTGATATTTTTTTCCATTCTGGGCTCAGAGCTTGGAATAAAGAAGAAATAGATTCTCTGTTTTCTTTGGTTCAAAAACCCTTTTTAGAAGCGTGCATTTGCTTCTAATTGTTTTTACAGCCCTGAGCATCAGTTACACAGTGAATAACGGTAACATTCAGTGTATTAGCAGATGATGTAGCAGCACATTCTTCTTGCTTAGAGCTGTTTGCTAGGGGTGAACTAAATTTTCCATTTATCAGTATTTTTGTGACAAAGCTTGAACAGTTAATGAAAATTTCACCAATGCATTTTTCCTCCCGGAGGCCTTGCCCATACTATAGGCTTGATTCAAAGCCCACTGGAGTCAAAGGTTATGTCTACACTTGAAGCTGGGGGCAGACAGGCCATTCATCTGGTTTTAAGCTGGATAGTCCTCTTTTTCTATGATTTGTCCCTTCTCCAGTTCAAAACCAGATGTGGTTTTGTCCAGTATCACCGAAGGGGGATGCCATTTTGAAAAGCACGCCGCTCCACACCTGCAGGCATGACTTTTCTGCATCTTCACACCAGCAGGGGGGTGGGGTGCTTTCAAAATGTGTGCGAGGTCGCACTGTGTGTGCAAGGTCACGCTGGTGGGGGTGGGCCCATTCCCTTCCCAGAAGTACTGAAATGTCCAGTATTTTGAGGATGTGGCAGTGGCCATTCTAGCTGGGGGTGTGCTTCTCAGCTCAAGTAGACATACTTATGCTAGCTCTGATTGAGCTAGCGTGCTAAAAATAATAGTGTAGCTGCAGTAGCACGGGGAGCAACAAGCAGTGGCCTGAGTCTGGGAGGCTTTGTACTTAGGGCAGCTAGCCCTATGCTGCTGCTCACTGCTACCATGGCTGCACTACTATTTTTAGCATTCTAGTTCCAAGTGTAGGAGTAGCAAAAGGAAGTTTTCCCATTGACTTAATGGGGTTTTGATCCAGCTGTATTTGAATAATAAAAATAAATAAGCTATTGTGCCTCGTTAAGTACCTTTTCTAAGTATCCCAGCTCATTGCTGCTGCCGTATTAAGTTGTTACATTTACTGACCACTCAGTGCATTGCCATGGTCCTGGTTTTTGCATGGGTGAGATGGGGCTGGCTAGAGAGTGAGGTTTCATCAGTGGCCAAAAATGCCTTTTTTAATTTGTGGTTGGCCAAGAGACTGGATGTGTTTCTCTCAGATACAAACCCCATTCCTTTTTTCCTTTTAGATTAGACTACTGTGAGTTGCTCTACCTGTTGGTAACGCAGAGTGGGGCTGGGTTGCGCCCCCTCCCTACCCACTGTGGGGGCTGGCTTGGGCCTTGCCATACACCCTCCCAAATGTTCCTCCATGCCCCTCTAGGGAGGTGTGTCCCACAGCTTGGGGACCACTTCCATAGAGAGAGCCATATAAGTACCTAGATCAGGGGTGCGCAATAATTTTTGCAGGGGGGCCACTCCATGAATTTTGGTAAGTCATCACGGGCTGCACATTTCTACTATATTAATGGAGGGTGCAGAGTCTGGGAGGGAGTTTGGTTACAGGATGGGGTTCTGCCTGGGGCAGGGGGTTAGGGTGTGGGAGCAGGTGCAAGGTGACGGCTCTGGCCGGGAGGTGCTTACCATTGGAGGCTCCTGGCTGGTGGCGCAGCAGGTCTCAGGCAATGGATGGCTCACTCTGGAACAGTTATTCCATACTGACATTGGTCCATTGTGGTTACATGTCTGTTTTCAACAGGGAGTATTGCTGGCATATGTATTCCTTTCTGCTTCCATCAAGAGTTACTGTATAGGAGCAGTGATAAAAATATTCCTTTGAAATCACTGTATGACTTTTAGTAAATACCATAAGATAGTGGCCTGAGGAAACGAATAATGAAAGATACTATTATTCAAAACTAGGCATAAAGATTACGACATAGGGAGAGTGTGGGATTTGTAAATTAAATCTAATGGAGAACTCTTCTTGTGTGTGAGTGAGCTGTATATCTTCATATTTGCATAATGATTTAGAGTTCAGTGGTCTGTTTATATTGAAGCATGGCATATTCTGTATTATGCTGACATGGTGGGATATAACTAGAGACACTGAACAATCTTTTTTTTCAGAAATTATGATATGGTAGATGGTCTTTCATTCTGATTAAATGGAATTTCCAGTTAACAGAATATTCCTTTTTAATGATAATACTGCTGTCTAGTGAGCTGCAGAATTATAATGAGCTCATCAGATTACCAAACAGTCCTATGGAGATGGGAAGAGGCACTATGTCTAATGTGAAAGGATCTAAGCCTGCTGTTTACCCAGTGGCAAGGGCAGCCATGAGAAGTCCAGTATAGCAGCTCAGCATGGATGGAATACGTTTAACAGGTGGTGT